CAAGATTATGGGGTTTAATGCAGAAATCGGAATCTCTGAATAGCTTGAAACTGTATTAATTAAAAAATATATTTTAACGACTTGTAAGTCCAAACACTTTGGCTTTTCTTTGCTTTAAACAGATACCTAAGGAAATCGTATAGAATGCTGTCTTTTTCATTTCTATTGGGGAAAAAACCTCTCAGTAGAGTAGGGGAGTTTATTGACATATGTACATGTATATTGATATTCTAATTTTAAATTCTTATTCCATATTCTCTCATCTCAGCATTGTGTAGAACTCCATATTCCTTCTAATTTAGACAAAGCTGATTTATTTTTGCCATAAAACGGTTGAGGTTATGGAGGAGGTGAGCATATACAAATCAACATTTTATTTTTAGAAGTGGCATTAACATCATGAAGGCACACACATTTAGTAAGTAGCATTTTTCATTTTAAAATGATTTCCTTTTTGGTAAAAATAACCACCAGGATATGGCTTCTTAGTGATGCATAGATTTTTCCCTAAAATTGTAATTGCTAAGATGACAATGTGTTTCAACTCTGTAAGTCTATGACCTCTGGCATGGGTTGTGCATTCCGTTCAAGACCGAAACTGGACCACTTTTGTCAGCTGCAAGTGTCAGACTTCGCCTTCACTGTTACTGCTGTGCTCACTGTTGTTTCTTTTGCCTTTGCCAAGCGAGGAAAGGTCAAGAAACATGTCAGTGGTAAAAATGCAGTAAATCAGCTGCAGGCAGTTCTCTGCCATATCTGTCCCCCTGGAATGAGAACATCTGATCGCAGTGGCTGCTGTTCGTCTATCCCAAACTGAAGATGAATTCTCTCTTCGCTGCTTGCACGTTGTAGTCCCACGAAAAAGCCAGGGAAATGACATAACATCCTGAAGGAAAATGGATCTTCTGAAGGCCTTGTCAAGGTTGTCATTACTGTGTGCAGTTTATCTGGATTGCAGAGGCAGGGGCCCCGAAGGTTTGAAATTGGAGTGACGGTATACCCAGTGAAAGCTGCATTGAGAGTATTAGAAACGAGAGGTGCTTTCCTTTTCGATCAGATGGATATCCCGTCAGTTATTGGTATATGCGAGTCAAAAACCATCTACATCCTTCAGAATACTGTCAGAAATTCAATGTTGTCTAGCGTCTTTGATTTTGTTTTTTTAGGAATTGGCACTTCTATTGTTTTCTGGATTGTTTTGTTATTTATTTAGATATTTGTGTTATTGTCTTTTCCTTTTATCTCTACCATGCTCTTTGTGAGTTCAAATTCCAGCTCTTTCTTTTAGCCTGTTAAAAGCTCTGGGGCTAATTCAGAGGTCAAGCAAGGCTCTTTGGCTGTCAGACTTCTATAGACCCCCCCCCTCCCCTCCATACACACACACCTTCTCACCCCTCCCCTATTCACTCCTTTAATGTTGTCTTTTTCCTATTCATTCAGCCCTTCCTCAACAGGATCATCAGCTCCTCTTCCATTCTTTTTCTGTTTTCTCACCAGCCTAAGAGACACAAACACAAGGTTTGTGAAAAGAATCATATTTGTTCAATATGCTTTTGAAATGTCCTTGTACTCTTGTTCTGCAAGGTTCTAATGGTAAAATTTTCTTTTTCTTGATCGGTGTCTTAATGTTTGCATCTTTCAGCAGTTTGGAGGCAGGTGGCTTGCAAATATACATATTACATATAAGAAAGGGAAGTTTTGATGTCCACAAACTTTAAATGATATAAAAATGATTTGTTTCAGGAGGCCTCAGACAAAAGTCTTTTAGTTGTTCACTTTACTTAAATGTAATCTTTATCATCAAAAAGATGTATTTATTCCTTTAAAGATTGGAAACATTTAAACTTCTGTTTTTTGAGTCATTTGTGCAACTGCAGTTTAATCTAGTCAATGCATTATATATAGCTGGTTTCTTCTCTCAGTATAAGATGGAATGTATTTGTAAGAATCAGCACAGCTGTTAAAAGGAGTTGAAATTGTTTTTCCCTCCAGCACTTTAAAGAATTTTGCAGACTTCCATCTAGAAATGATTTAACTGTACCCTGACTTTTATTGTTAGGAATGTGGCGTGAACACAAACATACTGCAGGTTTTGATTTTGTGAGTGGGTTCCCCAGATTTCATGATAAATTCAGTCTGCTGATTCTCCTGCTGTGTCCGCAAAAAAGAATAAGAATCACGTATGCATATGTCTTAACCCTTTAGAGTCCGAAATTTTCATGGCTTCCTAGCTCCTAGCTTTTATGGGTCTTGAGCATCTGTCAGCACCCGTATCCTATTCCAAGAAAACAATGCTATGACTGTTGATGTTTTGCAAAGCTTGCTAGACATTCTGAGATCTCAGGTGCTGGTGGTATTTCACTTCACATGCAGCATTGCTGTCTGTAGACCTTCAAGAATATCTGTGATTAAAAATAACTTAATGTCCCTTTAAATTAAAAATGTTCTTTAATAACATTTCATGGAGCATTAATGCAGAAAGTACATAAACAGATGCCAAAATTATGATGCATCTGTCGGCAATGTTGAAAGCTTCTTTCTTCTGCCTGTTTTTAATCGGCTAAAACCCTTATTTTAAGTCTGATCAAATCTAGTCAGAATCCATTAAAGAGAACAGTTTAGATGATCATCAGTTGTTCCTGTGCCAGCTGAGAAAAAAAAAAGTATCCAACTGAGAAGGGAGACCTTACAATGTTTAATGAGGAGAATGGCAGAGTCAGGCAGACTGCCTAAGTCTTCGCCTTTGGTGTCTGAAACGATCAGCATGTTAAACATTCTCAGCATGATACAAAGATATTACAGCTTATAACTGTTATCATTGATTTACAGAACACCCATCTTTATGAACCGGGATTTTTTTTAGAGAGGAACCAATAGTTTCCCAGGCACAGCAGTCTGCGTTGTTGCTGTAGGTATTTTGCCTGAGTCTTTGGAGTTTGTGGGTGAGGCGGTGGGGGGTGGAGGCTAAATTAGTACTGCAGTACTGATTGAAATGAAACCAAAGACTAATGTAACCAGGAGTAATTGACCCTTAAGGTTTCGAGGATCTGAGAAGACCAGAGGAGGAAGGGAAGTTTAAAAACTGGGGAAAGGAAAAATAAAAATCTCACCCCGTCAGCATGCTAACTTTTCTGTTTTTTATTTCTGTCTATATTTATTAATAACGTTTTTTAACCTGATTTGTTTTTCCATACTGACTTTAAGGACCTGTATGTATAAGAAATATATTGAAAACTGTTGGTTATGGCTTTTGTTTTAGAGACTTTAAATAATAGAGAACATCACAGCTTATAACGTATGTATTCAGACA